AAAGATAATAAAAATACCTCTTATGATTGAGTATGCTCTCATTGACGTTCAGACAAGTGTGAACGGTTTAATTATAAATGCAAACTATTATGTACAGTGTGTACTAATGTGGTGTGAATCAGCGTGTATTAATTCTTACGCTATATTATGGTGTACAATAATAATTAATGCATAAAATAAAATTGTGCACAATTTCCCGTATGCCATTTAATTTGACGAATTTTTCCAACAAAGCATTATATATGTAGCTGGTTTCAAATATGTTTATTTATATCACAGTATTAGTGAATGTAAAGTAGATTTTTATTTATTTATTTATTATTTATTTAGTATTTATTTATTTATTTGATAAATAATGTAAATTAAATGTTTAATTTGTCTGTTAAATGTAAAATAAATGTATACTACTAAATTTAAACTCCTAAGCATTGTATTTGTTTTTTATGATACTAAAGCAATGTTAAAAGAATCACGTTTATTTATTAAAAATTCTTATAAAATCTATTTAACCCTTTGCGGCACAGTGGGAATACGTATTCCCACCTTTTTTCATAGCATTTTTTGCAAATTTAGAATAGTTTTTGATGAATTTACCCTGAGTTTTTTGTTGTTTTACGATTATAGAATGATATACAATTGAAATTTACGTCAATTGGTGCCACAACTTTTATTAATTTGTTAATATTGTTAAACAAAGACGAAAAAAACAGCCCTATTTATAAACAAAATTCATTATTGAAGAAACTTTCAGTTATAATTTTACAAAAATTTATACAAAAGAGTTTTTGGGATCGCTAATCACGATTCTGAACTCAGAATTTTGAAATTTAAAATGGCGGATCCAAGATGGCGGCATAAATTCAGTGTATATTTTTTATTTCATTGATAATTTGTATACAAGGGTTTTTGGGATCGCTGATCACAATTCTGAACTTAGAATTTCGAAATTTAAAATGGCGGATCCAAGATGGCGGCAAAAATTTGGTTTATATTTTTTATTTTATTGAAAAATGGTATACAAGGGTTTTTGGGATCGCTGATCACGATTTTGAACTCAGAATTTCGAAATTTAAAATGGCGGATCCAAGATGGCGGTAAAAATTTGGTGTATATTTTTTAATTTATTGAAAATTAGTATACAAGGGTTTTTGGGATCGCTAATCTCGATTCTGAATCCAGAATTTCGAAATTTAAAATGGTGAATCCAAGATCAGATTGATTTTTTTTTGTATTTTTGTTTTTTTTTTGTTTTTTTTCACTTTTATATTTTTATCTTCTCACCTTCAATTTTTTAATTATCTTAGCTTTCTAATTCGTTTCAATCTTTCATGAATGATACTTCAAAAAGCAATTTCTGTCTACTTGTAAACATAATGGTACGTTGCACGTACTACATGACCATTTAGTTCGCACATCTTTTGTTTTTGTACTGCAGTGAGCGCATCTCCTATAATTATCAATGGGTGTTGGCATATGAGCAGATAGAGAGCGTCTTTTTTCAACAGAAACTTGTGGTTTGTGAAGATTGGTTTGTGTAGGTTGTCACTTTCTTCCTTTTTTAGTTGGAATTTTGTGAGAAACCAATCGATCCACTAAAAGTAGTCTGAACTTCTTCAATGTTATAGGATTATCAGCGTTTATTTTTGAAAATATGATGAATGAATTTGCAATAGTTAGATCAATGAAATGCCAGAATAATCTGTGCCACCACTTTTTGGACTTTCGATCTATTTTATATGTAGATAACAAACGATCAGCGTTATCGACAAATCCCATGTATTTGTTGTAATCAGAGCACATGACTGGACAATCTACCTGCACTCGTGTGCCATCTTTCTGTATTCGATTTACTGTTGTCACTTCGGATGTATCATGGTAATTTGACAGGAAACAAACACCTTTCTTATCCATCCATTTTATCCAAGTAATACCAGTATCAGACGTTCGAAAATCGTATTGTCCATGTTTTATTTGTTTGTCAAGCATTACAGATTTAGGTAACCCAGTACGATTGGAATGTACAGTTCCGCAAGCAAATATTTTGTCTTCTTTCAGCAAAATTAATAGATCGACACCAGTGAAGAAATTGTCAAAGTACACATGGTGATTTTTACCAATAAGTTCACGCGTCAAATCTTTGACAACTCATCCTCCTAACTATTTCTCAGAACTTTCGGTTTTGCCAGTATAAACTTGAAATTCACATACGTAACTGGACTCATCCGCACGAACCCAACATTTATATCCTCGTTTTATTGGTTTTGCTGGCAAGTATTGCTTCAGGCTACTTCGACCTTTGAATTTTATCATGGATTCATCGATAGATTGATATTTGCTTGGTTTCCAGCAAGTTTTGAATGTTTCTTGAAGTCTATCCAGCAATGGTCTCAATTTATACAATTTATCATAATTAGGCTCACCTTTTTTAGGTTCTGTGCTGTTGTCGGATATATGCAAATTACCTAATATGAATCCGAAACGAACAACCGGCATTAGCGAGCTTATATATGAATCCTTCAACTTTGGGTCACTCGACCAATAGTCGCGATAAGAAGGCAGTTTTTTTATTCCCATCAGAATATTAATTCCTAGAAAAATCAGTAACTCTTCTTTTTTAATCAATTACTTTTCCTGAGTTTTCTCCTGTGTATATTTATTTGTTTGCTGAACTAGTAAATCCAGCATGTCGTCAGGAAAAAGACACAAAAAAATATCTAGTGGAGATTTTACGTTTTCGGGGATATTTGGTCCGAAATCAGCAGTGAATTGATCATCATCTCTATTTTTTCCTTTTTTCTCCCATACTTCATTGCCAGAGCGTTCTCCTTGATATTCATCTGAATCGCTGTCACCTTCATTCTCTTCAAGCTGATCTTCGGTTTCTACATTTATATCATCCTCCTCTTGGTCTGAATCAACAAGTCCATCTACTGACTCCGTGTCGCTAGGAATATCAGCGATTTCTATTTTGTATGAGATACGTTAATATTTGTAATTATAAAAAAACTCGACTACTTGATAAAAAAAATTTTTAATGCTACAGGATCGGTACAAGCTCTTACGAAAATTGCAACTCACAACAGATTTTAGTGTATTATACTACAATGATCCGTACGAATATATTTTATCGCTCTAAAATTGTTTTTCCATCGGTCTTCAATAGATGACTTGAAATGTTCGATGTGCTATATAACTGAAAGAATTTTTAACACTCGCTATATTTTTACTCTTATGTATACGTATATAATTTCACGATTATTGAAGTCAAGTAAGTTTGGTAATGATTTATCCTCTGATTTACTGAATTGGCATTGGATCTAATGGAGTACCAGCATACAGTAATTACAACATTTGAAGAGATGACGGTTTGTTACAGCCTCTATTGATGGAAGGAGTTGACTTTTAAAAATATGGAATTTCAGAACTTTCCGCAGAAAGAAAGGAAATTTTCGAAGAAATATGATCACCCATCCCGAAAACCTCTACATGCACATTTTCAGAACAAATTCTGAAATATCAATATTTGCTGTCGTCTTGGATTCGTTATTACGAATTTCGGAAATTTGAGTTTAGATTCATAATTAGCGACCGCAAAAACCCTTGTATACCAACATTCAATAAAATAAAAAATATACACCAAATTTTTGCCGCCATCTTGGATCCGCCATTTTAAATTTCAAAATTCTGAGTTCAGAACCGTGATCAGCGATTCCAAAAACCCTTGTATATAAATTTTCAATGAAATAAAAAATATACATTGAATTTATGCCGCTATCTTGGATCCGTCATTTTGACCGCCATTTTGAATTTCGAAATTCTGAGTTCAGAATCGTGATCAGCGATCCCAAAAACCCTTTTATACCAACTTTCAATAAAATAAAATATATACACCAAATTGTTGCCGCCATTTTGGATCCGCTATTTTGAATTTCGAAAATCTGAGTTCAGAATTGTGATCAATGATCTCAAAAACCCTTGTATACCAATTTTCAATAAAATAAAAGAAAATAACCCAAATTTTTGCCACCATCTTGGATCCGCCATTTTAAATTTTGAAATTCTGAGTTCAGAATCGTGATCAGCGATCCCAAAAACCCTTGTATACCAATTTATATGAAAACTGGTTTCTCTGAAAAATGTATGCCGCAAAGGGTTAAGCTACCACACTAAGTTTTTTTTATCGTGTTACCAAAACAGTACAATTTTTATGATATCTAGATTTCTTATATAAGATTTTACGTGAGAATAGTCGTAGACGTTTATATAAATTACTTATGCGTAAGATCATATGCGAGTAAAGTTTCATGTGTAAGATATTACGTAAGAATCAATTCAACGTATTTAAATTTATTTCTTGCGTTAAATCTTTTGTCAGCGTAGTATAAGAGTAATTTTTATATATTTGATACGTTGGACCTTGCATGACAACAGATTCCAACATAAGAAATAAGGGTCAAAAATATTCTTCAAGATTCAGCGATTTGCATTAAAAATCGTGTAAGAATTTTTAGCAGGGCAGATAAAAAATAACATAATATAACGTATCGTCTTTTCCGATATCACACGAACAAGATTTCTAAATATCATATATTATTTCTTCATAAATACTCTTTCTGTGAATATAATATAATAGAGTGAATGTTGAAAAGCTTCAATCTATAAATTATATCATAAATGTTGTAATATTTTCACGTTTAAATATATTGGTGAATTGCAATCCTAAACCTAAAAATATTTCTGAGATACTTTAAAGTAAATCATGCATTATATTAAAAATGAATATCTATTTTTTCAATAAATAATTAACAGATGTTACTTAGAAAATTAATAATGTAAATGTAGATGTACTCTCTTCGCAAAGTATCAAGTTCAATAGTTCAACATTATGAACGCAAAATAAAAAAATTTAATTACGTATGAATTTTGCTAAACCTAGAAATGGTTACGATTTCATGAAATTTGTCTAAAAAGTATGAAATGCAGTATAGAAGAAAGCTCACCATGAAACGGTAGTCCAGTCAAGCGAATTGGTGACGCAGCATACTGCGCTAATTTTCTGGGAATAAAGTGGAAAGCATAGTACAATTAACAGTGTCAAGACAAGTTGTGTTAAAGTTTGCACACAACACAAAGCATTAGAATTAAAAATATTAATCTCAATCAATACGTTTCACCACTGCAGTTCTTCTCACGGCGTCGATTATTCATTCTTGGCTATATACGCACACAGTGGATCATTACGATCAACGGGAATTTTGGGATAATAGGAGCAGCTGAACATAGCACATTGATCTTGCGATTAAAAAAAATGAAAGAGAGAAAAAGAAAAAAATAAGAAAGAGTAAGAACAAATTGATAGAAAAAGAGAGACAATGAAAAAGATAATAAAAGAGACAAACAGGCTAGTATTCTCCTGACTTACTTTGATCAGCTGTACACTTGTTTCTATAGGTGACAATATGATTAAGATATACGAGATTCAAGTTGACCAAACAAGAGTTTGATATCTGAGGATACACCCCTGCCACTTCTACTGCTACTTTAATCGTTTATCTACTTATTAATTTATCTATCATACAAGCATTTGTAATTTATTCATTAAGCAAGAATATTTTACCTTAAGAAAAGAAAGAAATATTTTACTTTGATTTTAAAGAACGTCATCGGCTTGGCTAGAAACTAATTTTAATTAGATAGTAGATATAATGTTTTTCAGATAGATTATCAGTGATAGAATAATAAAAAAAAACAAAAGTACATAGGTAAATATTTAACAAAGCTTATTTTAATCTGAAGGAATTAATCTTAAAAATAGTGAGCGTCGCACAATTGTTTAGCATATACTGAGGAACCCAACACACTTTAACCCCATGATGGACTTTCTCTCACTCTTTTTTTTCCTCTCCCACCCTGTCTATTTCTCTCTTTCTAATTCTATTTCTCACTATTACTCTTCCTTGCTTGCAATTCGGACGCATTCGGCATTTTCCGCTATCCAGCAGTGTAGACGAAGATGGCAAGTTCTATTAGTAGTAGTAGTCAGAGCAGGACCGTATAATAAACAGTGTAAGCATGCGCGCGCAAGCTCATTTTAGTCGGATTTAGTGACTAGTAAAGAAGAGAAAGAGAGAAAGAATGAGAAGAAGGGAAACAGGAAGAAAAATAGAAATAAAGAATCTCAAAATTTCCTTTTCCCACCATCTTTATTATATCGCAGTTATATTCGATTTTTTTAAATTCTTATTTATATTATTTTTTCCCTATTTTACTTATCTTCATATTTTTCTTTTTTCCTTCTCCCTTTTATTCCCTGACTTCCTGTTGTTTTCTCATTCTCTCTCGTCCTCTCTTTTTCTATATTTATTTATTGTTTTAATTCTCCCTTTTTAAGCGCGTGCGCATGTGATTTTCATTATTTCTACAAACATGTGTACTAGGCCTACAACTGAGCATTATATTCCATAACGCTAGACTCATTCTCACCATTTTATTTACGTTAGCGTATGTATGTCCTGTGTATATCACAATTCTTGAAAAATTATTAGCTTCTATTCTTTAAATTTTAATTCCAAAAACAGCCGACAGATCATAATACTTCTGTTCTTTTTTAATTAAATGAATAAATTTAACTGAGTCACTTTATTGACAAAATCATATTCAATAATTTTCGAATTGAAAAGACAACCTGGAAAATTAAAGCCTATAGTTACGTTGTCATTGATACGAACGAAAAAAGTGCAACGATTTAAAATATATCGGCAGATTTTATTATTTCATTAAAGTTTTATTTAAAAATTGCCTAGGTTTTAAACTTAAAAAACTTTTAAAACATAATTCAAGAATTTTTAGACTATGGCTTCGACTAATGTTATTTAATTCCGATTTCCTATCCATTCAATACATGTAATTCTTCTATGATTATAATTAGATATATTAAATTTTGACATATAATATCGGTTTAAAAATTAGTTTCATTACTCTCTAAACTTAAGATTTTGTTTATTGGTTGGCATATTAACAGATTATAGAAAGCAATGAGCTAACTTTTGGCAGACACATGAGGTTTCGAGCTATTTTTTACACGCTCAACTTGATACATCTAATGTAGATGTATAAAGAATGTTTCTTCAGAAAAAATCGCAACACAATTCAGTCTTCTTGAAATATTTGCTATCGAATTTTGAGGAGAAAAGTTATCTTTTCAATGTCTTGCCCAATCATATGATAATAATCATTAAAAATTGTTAAAGCATTTCAAGTATCCATGATATTCTAAATAAATTTTTAAAATAATTATATAATAAAGACATTAAGTTAGGAGTTTCGTCCAATAAATCCCAAACTTTTTGATTCAGTTCATGAAGTTTGAAAACACGATTTACTCAAATAAAATACCATTGGACCACTTAAAAGCAGCTTATTGCTCTCAACAGCTAATACAAAATAGTATTTCCAACAAAATATGCTATTATAAAAAATTATCTATAATACTATGAATTTGTTTAACTAGTTTAAATTGTTTACAGTTTTTTATATGTAATTTAATTTTCAATGAATTTATGAAAAATATACTTTAATTTTTATATATACAACTGTGTACACAGAGTTCATTTTTATAAAACTTATATATAATAAAATATAATATATATTTCTAATATATTTTACATAACAACAGTTAAGTTATTGTAAAGTAGTATGTTATGTTACTGTGTTAAATAAATCGTAGATTGAAAAATGAAAAGAATTTAAGCAAGTTACTATATTTATATTACAAATAAATTAATTGCTGTTATCAATTTTATAATAATGCAATTCAAATACATAAAATTACCTCATGGTATACTATTTTCCGAAAATATTTTTTTTTTAACTGTCGAAAGTAACAATAGCTATTTTTAAATACTTTGTTCGCGTATAGCACTTAAAATCGTCATGACTTCGAATGACCCAATTAAAAATATTTGGCATTGATTGAACTTATTATCACATTTAAATACTTTAATAATCTAATCCAAAAATTATGAAAATTTGTAATGCTTAAATAATACAGAACAACAAAATAGGACTTAAATATAAAAAAATAACGACTCGGGTATTTCCATGTATTTTACCAAATTTAAATCATCTCTCCGTTTATCTCCATCACATCAGGTTCATTTCATTCATATTTTTATTTTTCAGATGAACCCGCAAGGTCATGTTGAGGTCAACTTTTGTGATTTCTGTACAGACAAACCAAAAAAATGTTCTTTTATACATTTCTGTGAGCTGAAACCAAATATATTGTTATATTGATCCCATTACATCAGTTTCAAGTTCACGTGAATTTCACGTAGAAATTTCAAGTAAACAAATAGCAATTAGCATATACGCGTGAATTTTGATGCACTAAAACCAAATCTAATTTCCGTTAGATTTCATTTCCTGACGTTTAATGTTACCTGAAAGTCATTACTGTTATTTATGCTGAGAACTTCATTACCGTCACGAGTTCTAATAGAGCGAGAAATTCGTTTGTTAATAAATGGTCATTTGAAAAAGAATATGCATAAACAAGATACTTAAAAAGTAAATATTTAATGTGAAATAATTCTATATGTGTATATAACACAGTAAATTGAAATTGATTAGGAATACATTTGATCTACAACTTATGGTTTACGAATGGTGAAGTATACGAATTCATTAAGAAAATATTTAATATAAGTATATTGAATATACAATTCATCATTAACATTTTGCGTACGTTTCTTGTTGCCAAATTTCTACGCATGGCCTTCCTTTTATGTTTCCTTAAAGTATCTCTCTTCACCCCAAAAATAGTAGGATAATATGTTCTCATTTCAAACACCTTGATATCTGTTCTCAATATCTTTTAAATTTAGATGTAATCTCTTACCTTGCTCTTCAATGAAATGCCTTAGAATTTCTGAAAAATATTTTACATGAGAGTCCAAGAAATGAAGTTTCAAATGCATGACGCCACCGATATCTTTGATTGCAGATACCATTGTTGCTAAAATATTTGCTCTTTGTCAGTCATTTTTTGTTTACTTTATTAAAGTAATACAATATTTTTATCTATTAAATATTTTGTATAATTTTGTTGCAACCTGGTTCTAAATTCACTAAAAAATGCCACTCTTTTCGTATATAGCGCTGAGTGCGGGCCCAACCCTACTAAAAATTCTTACATCAGTTTTGATGTAAACATCGCTAGTTCCCGTGGGATGTTTTAGTCTCCTATTTCTTATGCTTGAACCTATTCTCATGCATGATTAAATATACGAAATATATACAAATGACTCGTATTCTATTCTCATGAAAGATCTGATGCATTAAACTATCCTCACATATGATCTAACGTATGGTCAGATCATTTGTAAGAAACCAACCTTTTATAAAAATTTATACTAAATAACAGTGTTTCTGTTATCGAAGCAATCATCACTGTTTATTATAAATTTTTATAATAAACAGATATAAGGTACCATGAGGTAATTTTATGTATTTGAATTGCATTATTATAAAATTGATAACAGCAATTAATTTATTTGTAATACTATGAACTTGCTTAAATTCTTTTCATTTTTCAATCTACGATTTATTCAACGCGGTAACATAACATACTACTTTACAGTAACTTAACAGTTGTTATGTAAAATATATTAGAAATATATATTATATTTTATTATATATAAGTTTTATAAAAATGAACTCTGTGTACACAGTTGTATATATAAAAATTAAAGTATATTTTTCATAAATTAATTGAAAACTAAATTACATATAAAAAACTGTAAACAATTTAAACTAGTTAAACAAATTGATAGTATTATAGATAATTTTTTATAATAGCATATTTTGTTGGAAATACTATTTTGTTTTAGCTGTTGAGAGCAATAAGCTACTTTTAACTGGTCCAATGGTATTTTATTTGAGTGAGGCGTGTTTTTAAACTTCATGAACTGAATCAAAAAGGTTGGCATTGATTGGACGAAACACCTAACTTAATGTCTTTATTATATAATTATTTTAAAAATTTACTAGGATCATATAGCGCGCTAAGCGCGCCGTAAATTACACAAGCCGACAAGCAAAAAAACCCAGAAACCAGACAGTACGTTCCCAAACGTTTTTGGTGTGCTGAAACCGAATCTGACCTCAGAATTGCTCCATCACCCTAGGTTTTCGAGAAATCCTAACCTAAAAGTTCAAAAAACACGATTTTTCACTATATTTCGCGTAGTATTACGTCGTAAGCCAATTTTATTTTAAAAAACGAGTAATGCTATCTCAAAGTACTACTCTTACCCTTCAAAGCCCTTTTTTCAGATTTAAAAAATCTTTTTTTTCCATCGAGATATCGTAGATTGAATTTGAGTGATTTAGCGATTTCGTTACAGCACGAAATAGTGGCGAATTTCCGAATAAGGAGTTATAGTGTAATTATATGTTTTTTGGGTCACTGAATCCAAATTTAACGTCAGAATGACTCTATTATCTCAATTCCCTTAACCCTAGAGCCCCATAACCTGCGACGCTGTAACCCCTGACCGACATACCCCAATTTCCTTAACCCTCGAGCCCTTTAACCTGCTGCGGTATAACCCCCGACCCTCACACCCCAATTTCCTTAACCCTCGAGCCCTTTAACCTGCTGCGGTATCACTATTCTCTCATTAGTCGTCATTGTCAAGAGGAATTCATCATCTTTCATAAGTGCTCGAATGTCTGGCCCTACAAATATGCCTTCCTTAATTTTCGCTTCAGACAATTTAGGAAATTTGCCCTGAAGATACTTGTAACATTCGCCTTCCTTATTTAGAGGGTTAAGCAGGATATTCGACGATCGACTTAACCTTCTCGTCGTCCGGACGCAAGCCTTTGCCATCTAACTGGTATCCTAAATACGTTACCTCTGTACTGAAGAAATCGGACTTCTCTAAATCGATCTTTAAGCCTATACCAATCAAACGCGTTA